CGCCATACATAAAGCCTTTTTTATTTTTAGAAGCCCCAGAAATGATGATTTAAATACAGTTTTGGTTTGAAAATTTTGTTTTTGTTTTTTTTTTTTTATCAGGACAAGTAGACTGTCATGAGGGACCTGCATGAGGGACCATAAAAAGGGACACGACATAAGGGACACAGACTGCACACGAGGGACATGAGGGACACGTAAGGGACAACGTAGACTGCCATGAGGGACACGTAGAATGGACCACGGTGGGTACACTAGATTTGGGGTCCCAATTTAGTCCCGGGACATTTTTTTTTTACATTTCAACCCTGTTACAATGTATCTTTCTGTCCATTCAGAAAGGGAAACCACATGGGCAGTCTGTACAGTGACTAATCGCTTTGATAGCCAATCAGAGGCTATCCCAGCGATCAGGTGAGACTGAAGAAGCGGGAGTTCCGGATCAATTTGCTAGTAAAGGACCCGGAGCCCTCTGTGCAGGCCCCTCCCAGCCCAGACACAGGAATAGGAACACATACATGTGGCCTCAAGATAAAGACCCATTTCCCATTTATACATGGCCAGATCTAGGGGGGTGCTGGAGTGGGCTGTGTCCCCCCAGATTTCTGTTATGCCCCCCCCAGCCGTTGGAGTTTCTTCCCCATCACACAACACAGGAGTGTGCAGACCGGGGCGGCAGTGAGGTGTGATGAGTAAAAAAAAAAGGTCAGACAGCGATAGACAGGGGAGAGGCTGTGCTGCGTCCTCCCTTCCTGTCAGTGCTGCGCTCCCCCACACAGCACATCACACAGGACCACTGGCTCGGAGGGCACACAGTGCAATTACCCGCTCTATGCGCATTTCCTCCTGCTGGGACATGAGTAGTCCTTGGAGGGAAACAGTGTGTGCAGCCCAAACTAATGATTCTGTGTGTGTGGGGGGGGGGGGGGGGGGGGGGGGAGCGCTGCACTGACAGGAGGGGGAGGACACAGCACAGCCTCTCCCTTGTCTCCTGTGGGGGGGACTTACAGGCGGGGAATAGAATGTGAGGGGTTGGGGGTGTAACTTGTGCTCGTAGTTTTGTACCTGGAATGAGAGGTAGAGGGATTGGTGACTATTTGTGCTGGGGAGGGTAATGGGGGGGGGGGGGGGGGTGGGTTGGTTGTATTTGCTAAAAGAGGGGATTGGGGTGGAAGGATATGTGCCATTAGGAGGAATGAGGGGTGGATATGTGCTGGGGGGTGGGGGGGGGGGGAAGGTTACTGGGGAGATGTGTGTTTGGAGAGGGAGTATGCTAGGTCTAGGAGTGGGGATTGGGAGAGATGCGTGTGTGTCTGGAGAGGGAATTGGGGGGTGGGGGGTGTATGCTAGGTCTAGGAGGGGGGAATTGGGGGAGAGATGTGTGTCTGGAGAGGGAATTGGGAGGGGAGGGGGTATGCTAGGTCTAGGAGGGGGGAATTGGGGGAGATGTGTGTCTGGAGAGGGAATTGGGAGGGGAGGGGGATGCTAGGTACTAGGAGGGGGGAATTGGGGGAGATGTGTGTCTGGAGAGGGAATTGGGAGGGGAGGGGGATATGCTAGGTCTAGGAGGGGGGAATTGGGGGAGATGTGTGTTCGGAGGGGGGGAATATGCTAGGGCCAGGAGGAGGGGATATTGGGGGAGGTGTGTTTGAAAGGGGGAATATTCTAGGTGGCTAGGGGGGGGATTGGGGGGGGAGATGTGTGTCTTTGGAGAGGGAGTATGCTAGATCTAAGGGTGGGGGGGATGTGTGTCTGGAGAGGGAATTGGGGAGGGGGGGGGTAATGCTAGGTCTAGGAGGGGGGAATTGGGGGAGATGTGTGTTTGGAGGGGGAATATGCTAGGGCCATGGAGGGGGGATTGGGGGTGCGATGTGTGTTTGGAGAGGGAATTGGGAGGGGGGGGTTGGGGTATGCTAGGTGGGGGAGGGGGTGGGGTAATGTTTCAGGAGTGAGGGAACATGTGCTAGATAGTGTGATTGGGAAGGAATTTGGTTGGATATGTGCTGGGGGGGGGGGGGGGGGGGATTGGGGATGGAGGTATCTGGGCTAAGAGGGATTTTTTTCCAGGGGGGAGGAATTTGGATTAAGAGGAGAGGGCTGGAGAGGATTTGTGCTAGGAAGGAGAATTTAATGGGGGGGGACTTGGGTGGAGAGGGAGAATTTGTGCTGGGAAGAGTAAATTGGGAGGGAATTATGTCTGGAGGGGGGATTTGGGAGACAGGATTTGTGCTGGGAGGGGGGATTTGGAAGGGAGGATTTCTGCTAAAATGGGAAATTTGAGGTTAAATATGATGAATGCTAGGTGGGATGATTTTTTTTTTTTTTTTTTAGGGGTGAGACATGAAATGAGGGCACTCAGCAGATCTTCTCCCCTCATAGCACATAGCTGAGATTTGCTTGAATTCTCTTACAGACACAGCCTCGATCTGTAGCCCCGGCTACCACACTGTGCAGATGGATGCTGTGTCTGTAAGCGGAATCCAATCTCAGCTATGTGTTGTGGGGTGGAGGAGCTCTGGAGTAGTCAGGCTGTTTGCAGTGTGGGGAAGGGAGGAGGAGATCTGCTGAGTTCTGTGCCAGCAGTGACCCTGTCCTCTTCTCTGCTGACCATTGTATTCTGCCTTGCTGACCCCTTTACACTGCCCTCCCATTGCTGACCCTGACCTCCATCCTGTTGACCTGATAACCCCCTTTCTCCACCCTGCTGATCTCTGTCATATGCTCTGTACAAGAATCCAGTAGGGTAGTGTAAAGGGGGTCAACACTGTCCAGCTGCACACTGTCCTCTTCTCTGATAACCCCATGTACACTGTCCCTTCAAACTAATAGCTTCTGTTAGACTTCCCTATAAACTGCTGAGCCCCTGTATTACTACCCTACTGACCTAAACATCCTTATTTCCCCCCCCCCCCCGACATTTTCTACTGCACCCCCACATCAGACAGGCTAGATCCAGCCCTGATTTATACCATAACATGTATAGGTAAAGCGTTGATCCAGTGAATATCCGATTGCCTCTCGGGGGATCAGGAACAACATTTTTTTCCCCCCTACAGGAGCAAATTGGATCGTGCTTTGCTGGGTTTTTTTGCCTTCCTCTGGATCAACTGTGGGTGTAGGATTATAACTTTTTTATGGTTGAACTGGATGGACTTTTGACTTTTTTCAGCCAGACTATGCAACTGACCTGGGAGAGATCTGTATTTACACACAGGTCTCTCCCCCGGAGATACTCAGCGATCACTGGGGTGCCGGCAAGTAATCAACGGCTCGGGACCCAGTGATTGACAGCCGAGGCCATAGGTAGGGCACACACACACACACACACACACAAAAAAGAATTGTGGAAAGAAACATCAACTTAATCAACAAAGCTACCCAGTTATACAGAAATATAGAAAGGATTTTTATTAAAAGTTGTATAAAATATGTATCCAGAAAGAAAAACCAGAACATGCTCATGAAGCACCATATTCCCATCCCTTTAGTCCCCTACCCCTTCATTCTTAAACAAAAGATACTAATGAAACAACAAACCCCAACACCAGAAGAACTCCTCCATGCTTTACTGAACCTATTGGAATGCATTAAAGGAGGGGTCTCCAAACTATGGCCCTCCAGCTGTTGAAGTGCTACAAGTCCCATCATACCTCTGGAAGTCTTGCCTGTGGCTGTCAGAGTCTTGCCAAGCCTCATGGGTCTTGCAGTTCCTCAACACCCGCAAAGCCATAGTTTGGAGACCCCTGTATTAAAGCATCAAGCTAAGTACACAAGGGCCGCATACCGGGGGGGGTATCAGCTGGTTTAACATAAACTGGCTGATATTTGGACCGCGTGTATGGCAGCCAGTCTGACAGAAGCCGGATGTTTGTACGGCTTTCGTCAAAGGGGCATGACCAAAAAGGTCTGCCAATCAACTTCCTATCAATGCTGACAGGTGTGTTCTGGCGGGAACAATAGCATAGCAGGGGAGAATGCTGTACTAACCATGCTTGTGTGTTAGTACATTCAGTCAGGTGTTTTTTCCCACCCCATTCGGCCTGCTGGGCTAAATTTAAAAAAAAAAAAAAAAAAAAAAAAAACCACACGACAGCATGTATGGGGCTTTAACTTGTGATGTGGGGTGTAAAAAAAAAAAAAAACTTCTGAGATACACCAAACCCCTTTCAGAGTTGCTTATCAGCTACCCCTTTAAACACTCTTTTCCCCCCAGAGTTTCTTCTCTGCAGCCTAAAATGAAGATTGTGAACCCTCTAATGCAGTGGTTCTCAACCTGTGGGTCGTAACCCCTTTGGGGGTCAAACGACCCTTTCACAGGGGTCCCCTAAGACCATCAGAAAACACACATTTCCGATGTGTAAAGAGCAGCTACTGTGTAGAAAGCAGCTGCTGTGTTGAAAGCAGCTACTCTGTTAAAAGCAGCTACTGTGTTGAAAGCAGCAGTATTGGAGGTAAAACGACACTTCATGAATATATAATTACTGGGTAAATAATTTTATGGTTGGGGGGGTCACCACAACATGAGGAACTGTATTAAAGGGTCACGGCATTAGGAAGGTTGAGAACCACTGCTCTATATAGATCTTCAGTTATTAGTAGATAGATCCCCAGCCAGAGAAAGGAGGTCCCGATTCCTCTATATAGATCTTTATATCACCAAAGGGATCACCATCGGGAGGAAGGAGGTCCTGATTCCTCTATATCAGTGGTTCTCAACCTGTGGGTCGCGACCCCTTTGGGGGTCAAACGATCCTTTCACAGGGGTCCCCTAAGACCATCAGAAAACACACACATTTCCGATGTGTAAAGAGCAGCTACTGTGTAGAAAGCAGCTGCTGTGTTAAAACGACACTTCATGAATATATAATTACTGGGTAAATAATTTAATGGTTGGGGGGTCACCACAACATGAGGAACTGTATTAAAGGGTCGCGGCATTAGGAAGGTTGAGAACCACTGCTCTAATGTCTGATAAGGGTTGACTTCATTGCAAAGGCTGATCATGGCGAGAACATGATGGATATGTCTCCTCTCCAGTGTGCATCATCCGGTGTGTGATAAGTTCTGACTTCAATGCGAAATATATTCCACATTGAGGACACCGGTATGGCTTCTGGCCAGTGTGAGCCATCAGGTGACTTAAAAGCTCCGACTTGAGCATAAAAAACGTCGCCACATTCAGAACACCGATATGGTGTCTCTCCAGTGTGCATCATCAGGTGTGCGATAAGTTCAGACCTCACTGTGAAAGATCTGCCACATTCATAACACCAATATGGTGTCTCTCCAGTGTGCACCATCCGGTGTGCGATAAGTTCGGACCTCACTGTGAAAGAAGTGTCACATCCAGAACACAGATATGGCGTCTCTCCAGTGTGCACACTCTGGTGTGCGAGAAGTTCGGACTTTACTGTGAAAGAAGTCTGACATTCAGAACACTGGTATGGCTTCTCGCCCGTGTGACCCATTAGGTGACTTAAAAACTCTGACTGGAGCGTAAAAACATCATCACATTCATAACACCGATATGGTGTCTCTCCAGTGTGCATCATCAGGTGTGCGATAAGTTCGGACCTCGCTGTGAAATATCTGCCACATTCATAACACCAATATGGTGTCTCTCCAGTGTGCATCATCCGGTGTGCGATAAGTTCGGACCTCACTGTGAAAGAAGTGTCACATCCAGAACACCGATATGGCATCTCTCCAGTGTGCACACTCTGGTGTGCGAGAAGTTCAGACTGCACTGCGATAGAAGTTTCACCTTCAGGACTCCGGCACGGCTTCTCGCCAGTGCGATCCATCTGGTGACTTAAAAGCTCTGACTTGAGCATAAAACCGCTGTCACATTGAAAACACCGATATGGTTTCTCTCCACAATGGTGTGCTTTAAGTTCGGACCTCACTGTGAAAGCTTTGCCACATTCAGAACACCGATATATCTTCACTCCAGCGTGCACATGGTGGTGCTTTAAAAGCTTTGACCTGATTGGAAAAACTTTGTCACACACAACACATTGAAATGGTCTCCCTCCAGTGTGACTCTTCTGGTGTTTGGCAAGATGGCACTTCTGATTAAAAACTCTGTCACATTCAGAACACTTATAACGAGTTCTCTCCAGAGTGACTCTTTTTGTGCATGGTGAGTGCTGACCTCCTTGTAAAGGTTTTGCCACATTCGGAGCACTCATATGGCTTCATGCCTCGGTGAGCATTCTGGTGTGCGATAAGATTTGGCCTCCGTTTAAAAGCTTTGTCACATACAGTACATAAATACGGCTTCTCTAAATTATGACTCTTTTGGTGCCTGGCAAGGTTCAACGTCCCTGTAAAAGATCTGTCACATTCAGGACACGGGTACGGCTTCTCGCCCGCGTGATCCATCTGGTGACTTAAAAGCTCTGACTTGAGCGTAAAACCGATTTCACACACAGGACACCAATGTGGCTTCTCTCCCCTGTGAACCATCTGGTGTGTCACAAGATGTGCCTTCTGTGAAAAAGCTTTATTACATTCAAAACAGCGAAAGGACTTCTTTCCTCTGTGAATCTTCTGGTGTGTTGCAAGGTTCGACTTCTGCGTAAAAGCTTTGCCACATTCTAGACACAGATGGTTTCTTCTTTCTCGCCAGTGTGAATCCTCTCATGCGCGATAAGTGAGCACTTCATGCTAAAAGCTTTGGGACATTGAGAGCACTGAAACGGCTTCTCTCCGGTGTGAACCTTGTGGTGCGTTTTAAGGTTTGCCTTCTGTGCAAAACGTTTGCTACATACATAACACAGATATGGCTTCTCTCCAGTGTGACTCCTCTTGTGTGTAATAAGCGCCGATCTCCTTGTAAAAGTTTTGTAACATACAAAGCACCAGTATGGCCTTACTCCAGTGTGACTCTTCTGGTGTCTAAGAAGGTTTGACTTCGAGGAAAAAGCTTTGCTACATTGAGAACATTGATATGGCTTCACGACGCTCTGACCCGGCGGCACGACGCTCTGACCCGGCGGCACGACGCTCACGACCCGGCGGCACGACGCTCTGACCACGGCTCTGACATACCGGCACGGCACGACGCTCTGACCCGGCGGCACGACGCTCTGACCCGGCGCACGACGCTCTGACCCGGCGCCGCTCTGACATACCGGCTCCGCTTTGACCCGGCGCCTCTCCGCTTTGACCCGGCGCCTCTCCCGCTTTGACCCGCTCTCCGACTCTGACCCGGCGGCACTCCGCTCTGACATGGCGGCACGACGCTTTGACCCGCGGCACACCGCTCTGACCCGGCGGCTCGACGCTCTGACCCGGCGGCTCTCCGCTCTGACCCGGCGGCTCTCCGCTCTGACCCGGCGGCTCTCCGCTCTGACCCGGCGGCTCTCCGCTCTGACCCGGCGGCTCTCCGCTCTGACCCGGCGGCTCTCCGCTCTGACATACCGGCACGACGCTTTGACCGGCGGCTCTCCGCTTTGACCCGGCTTCACACCGCTCTGACATACCGGCACGACGCTTTGACCCGGCTTCACACCGCTCTGACCCGGTGGCTCGACGCTTTGACCCGGCTTCACACCGCTTTGACCCGGCTTCACACCGCTCTGACATGGCGGCTCTCCGCTTTGACCCGGCTTCACACACGCTCTGACCCGGTGGCTCGACGCTTTGACCCGGCTTCACACCGCTCTGACATGGCGGCACGACGCTTTGACCCGGCTTCACACCGCTCTGACATGGCGGCTCTCCGCTTTGACCCGGCTTCACACCGCTCTGACCCGGTGGCTCGACGCTTTGACCCGGCGGCTCGACGCTTTGACCCGGCTTCACACCGCTCTGACATGGCGGCTCTCCGCTTTGACCCGGCTTCACACCGCTCTGACATGGCGGCTCTCCGCTTTGACCCGGCTTCACACCGCTCTGACCCGGTGGCTCGGGCGCTTTGACCCGGCTTCACACCGCTCTGACATGGCGGCACGACGCTTTGACCCGGCGGCTCTCCCGCTTTCACACCGCTCTCACACCTCTCCGCTTTGACCCGGCTTCACACCGCTCTGACCGGGCGGCTTTTGCTCTCCTTTCTTCCGCTTTGACCCGGCTTCACACACCGTTCTGACCCGGCGGCTCTCCGCTTTGACCCGGCTCACACCCGCTTTGACCCGGCTTCACACCGCTCTGACATGGCCGCTCTCCGCTTTGACCCGGCTTCATACCGCTCTGACCCGGCGGCACAACGCTCTGACCCGGCGGCACAACGCTCTGACCCGGCGGCACAACGCTCTGACCCGGCGGCACAACGCTCTGACCCGGCGGCTCACCGCCAAGCTCCTCTTCCATTGTAAAATGTTTGTCACTGTCAAAACAAGATATATCTTCTCTCCTGTGACGGGTCTTGGGTTTGATTTTACTGTTGCTTCCAGAAAGGACTCCTTTCCTGTTCTTTAAAAGACTGGATCAATTATGAACAGTATTCGAGAAAAAGAATAATATTTAGACCGCCGATACGGCTCGTGCCGCATGTCAATCCTCCGGAGAACTGTAGTAAGACCTTTCAATTTCCCAGAACACCCATATGACTGGTCTCCAATGTGACTCAGTTGTTGCTTATGAAGACCAAACAAACAATTACCAGTCAATCCACCTGTACAGAGAAAACAAAAAATTAAAAGCCAGAAATATGTAAATAAAGCTAAATTAAAGCAGTTTTAGGTTTTAACTTTCATTGTTAACCCCTTGCCTACCGAGCATGTGACGGGAGTCACTTTGGAGGGGGGCCATGGAACCCAGCTCACTTTGCAGAGGTGGGGAGACCCCTTTCTCAGCTCCCCATATCCCTCTTATGGGAGAGTCACCCTGTGCCTGTTATGGCTACAGGGTGACCTCTCCTAATATTGTGTAGCATGTCTAGGAGATAGGTGGGGTGGGGGTTGTGGATTGTTTGATATTATTTGGTTGTATCCCATTGTTCTATTGTGTGTCTTGTTTGGGAGCAAACTATTATGGGATGTATGTGTTTATGTGTATTAGTTTAGTAGTGGTGGTGGTGGTGGGCTGAGGTTTTCTCCAGCAGCCCTCCCTCCTGATGGGACTGTCTGTTGGTGTGCCTCTTGTTACTAAATGTAGATTGCCCTGCCCTGTGTCATTATGCAGGGGGGGGGATTGTGTATATATCTTGTATCTGTGTTAAAATAAAGCAGTCTACCTGCTGGTTTACTTAAAGTTTGGCGTCACCTAGTCTTGTGTGGTCGTCTGTGGTGCCTGGATGGGGAAACGGTATGCTAAACGGAAGTACCCAAGCGCAGTCTGGGGTCGGTTCTGTTACAGAGCACTCCTACCCCCTTTTTTTCCCCCAAACACACACAGCTTTTTTTTGGTGGTATTTAATCGCCATGGGGGGGGTAGAGAACCGGCAATTGCATATCCCGGTGATCAGCGTGTCATTGACATGGCTGATCACATGGTAAAAGGCCGCTGTGAATGACCTTCTACCACATCACATGATCAGCAGAACTACATAAATCAAACCAGAAAATCTAATACATGAGTGAAGTAGTGAGAAACTGTCCAAACCAAACATACAGATAGCAGGATATGAGAAGCACGGTTATGTCAGAGCCGAGGTCATACATGGAGATCAGGCAGGAGGAGCAGGGAGCAAGCCAGGACAGGTAGATGGTAAAAACGAGAGGAGGGACAAGCAAAGGATCAGGGTCAGGACCAGGATCGGGATCGGGATGCAGGAACACAGGTCAGAGCAATAGTGCCCCATCATTGGTGTCAGCGGGAGGAATAGTGCCCCATCATTGGTGTCAGCGGGAGGAATAGTGCCCCACCATTGGTGTCAGCGGGAGGAATAGTGCCCCACCATTGGTGTCAGCGGGAGGAATAGTGCCCCACCATTGGTGTCAGCGGGAGGAATAGTGCCCCACCATTGGTGTCAGCGGGAGGAATAGTGCCCCACCATTGGTGTCAGCGGGAGGAATAGTGCCCCACCATTGGTGTCAGCGGGAGGAATAGTGCCCCACCATTGGTGTCAGCGGGAGGAATAGTGCCCCACCATTGGTCATTGGTGTCAGTGGGAGGAATAGTGCCCCACCATTGGTCATTGGTGTCAGTGGGAGGAATAGTGCCCTATCATTGGTATCAGGTGGAGGAATAATTATTATACAGGATTTATGGTGCCAACAGTTTGCTCAGCGCTTTACAATATAACGGGAGACAATACAGCAAAGGTACTATTCAATACAAGAGGGATTTGAGGGCCCTGATCCTTGGAGCTTACAATCTAGGAGAATAGTGCCCCATCATTCCTTTCAGTGGGAGGAATAGTGCCCCATTGGTGTGTCATTGGGAAAGATAGTCCCTCACATCAGTGGAAGATGTGGGGCCAGATAAAGGGCCAGATAAAGGCCAGCAAAGGGCTGCATCTAGTCCTCAGACCACAGTTTGGAGACACCTGGCCTAGGCAAATCGGAAACAGTAGTCCCCCCCCCCATAGTCTTCTGGGACACTTGACAGGTCAGAGAAGACTGTGGAACCATTCACAAGGTACAGCTCTCCTCACATGTGGTGAAGCCACAAGCCAACAAAGCCGGGTTCCCACACACAGCTCTCAGAGTATTTCTCAATGGCTGCCAGAGAGGAGAACTCATTGCTTTTACAGCCTTCATGGGTGGGAGAAAAAAAAAAAAAAAAAAAAGTCTGCACTTCAAGGGATACCATCACCTTTCTCTGTACACAGAAAGTGTACAGAGAAGAAGCCTGAATACCTTATACAACTTTCCAAACATGTGAGTAAGAGACCAAGTGGCAGCCTTGCAGATCTAAGAAGCCCAGGCCTGATGAAGAAAAAAAAAAAAAAAAAAAAAAAAAAAAAGGCCACGAGGATTTTATCTTGAAATATGAATTATAGTGCATTATCTGAGAGAAAATAGCCCCAAATATTTCAAAGTCATTTAAATCCCCTTTCTTCCCCATTCTGATGCTCGGTTTGAACTTCAACAAGTAGTTTTCACCACATCTAGATGCCTAAATGTATTGAGTTAGTGGCATGCGATTGGCTTGCTGATTGGTGTTACCGCATAATTGAACACCTAATAAACTGGCCGCTGAGTGTATCGTGTAGTAAATGTATTAACATGTAAGATACGCTCCATGTTGAGGGCGGGTGACCTGGTATAGTACAGGAGGGGCCAGCACACACTTGGATAAAGGGTCTAATATAGATTTTTAAAGGGAATCCCCTACTTTTTTTTTTGTTATATCTGTACATGGGGCCTCCATCTTAAACCCATAGAAGATCCAGAGGGTCTAGTATAGAGTCTTGGATGGCCAATTTTTTTTTTTTTTTGGGGGGGGGGTCCCCATAATGTACTTTCAGGACTTGAAGGGCCGGATGTCAATTATAAAAAAGGGGGACCCCACACTGTGTGGTGTGTTTTGTGTCCCCCATTAAAAATCTATACCAGACCCTAAACTAGGATAGGGGGTCAGCTATAGATGGATGGAATCTCTGGCTCTTCGGTTTACAAACAGAACAGAGCGGCCAGAAGCTGTCATTTTGCTGCAATATAAACCCACTTTTCTCTTTGTAAGTCCTCAAGCACATGGGACTTTTTACAGCGTTTTTAATGTGACTTTCCACATGGAAGAAACATTTTAAAAATATTCTTCCCAAATATATTGACATATTTGGAATGCATTTTTATGTAAAAATGTTAAAATGACTAATGTTACAAAACAATTAAAGCATATATTTTAAAAATATTTTTTTTACATAAAAAAAAAAGTCATTTACATAGATTTGTAAATGCATTGTAAAAATGTAGGTGTTTTTTAACCATTAGCCGCCCGGCCAATGGCCGTTTGGCGGCTTCAAATGTGTCTCTGCACTCCGGGTGCACGCCATTTGGCGTGCTCCTGCACATGCGCAGTTTGCGCTAATGCAGAGAGGCGCAGCAGTGCGATCTGTCACCGGCTGTGCACCTCGGACACGGCTGGTGACAGATCCGGGTACCGGCTCCCGTTGCTGGTATCATGTGACCTGCTGTGACCAATCACACAGGTTACATGACAGTTGTATACAATGGATGGCTTCATTCATGATGCCATCCATTGTATACTAGTGCCTAGCTGTGAATGGTCACAGCTAATCACATGCACATGTCATGTGATTAGCTGTGACCAAATCACAGCTAAGCACAAAAAAAAAAAAAAAAAAAAAAAAGCTGAATGAATCAATTTCATTCAGGTAAAT